GTTCCCGAAAAAATCTTGGCCCAAACTGACCAATGGCTAAAAATGTATTTTTCGGACTCAGGGTGGTCTGAAACGTATAGATCCGTCAAAAACCACATATCGGAAATTTGACCCGTTTGCAATACTTTCCTTACCTATTATAGGTAGGAAAGTAAAAAAAATTAAATAAATAAGTGAAGAAATCAAACAATTTAAAACACATTCAAATATGGTAAATATCCGTTTAAAGTGTCAAAGTCCGAAGTCTCATTATGCTGGAAGTCTTATGAAATTGAAAGATAACAGAAACGGTTGGGCTTTAGCCATCGTTTACTCAAAAGTTTGTCACTTATGCCCCTTTGTTTCTAGGTGCCTCAATCGTAGTATGCATTTGGATTCCCTTCCTGCTCTTGTGGAACTCCTGGAAATTGTTGAAACGACGATCTACCCCCTGACCTTGATGGACCTTGGCAGTAACGGACCAAGCCTCGGACTCCCCGCGACACCTGACCCAGCACACACAGAGGTAGCCGACGCCAGCGGTCCGGAGGCGCCAGCGTGGTATACCGTTCGGTCTAATTAAAGCGGAGCCGTGGGACCCACTTGTGAAAATAAAGGAGTCACCATTAGGGTCGTGAGTCGTGGTCGCGGGCTATCTCCTCCATCTTGCCATAGCCAATAACTTATAATTGATTCGAGTCCCTGTGTATTGGCCTGTATCAGGTGGTGTCCAGATCCACCAGATTGTGCTCCTGTGTCTAGATCCAGATACCGGCCATTGTCTACTCTTCGCCACTCAAAAAGGAACTTGACAAAACGTGTTGTTCTCGGCTCTAATTATCTGCTACCGGCGGAGGCCTAACGCAGAAAGTCCGATGACGACCACTGGGGTACGTTCTTCCAGGATCTCAAAGGGAACTGGAGCAAGTATATGAATCATAGATGCTGTGGAGTAAAAACAATAATTTTAAGAATTTCGTAAAAATTAAATTTCCAAGAGCTGAATCTTATCAACCCAAATGTCCATGGTACGTAACTAAGAACCTACGGACCTTCCAAAAGCTTTGTCTGATAAGTAGAACACCACTAATCCATGTGAAACAATGAAATGATAGTCTTTGCCCCCACCCATTCTCTAGTATAAACATAACACGAACTTTTGTTTTATTTTTATTTTAAAATATCTTCCTTAAATAAGGATACTGAGGTTCAGCTTTATTAAAATATGATCTGAGTGTTCAAATACTCAACGGATTGATGGAATTCCTATCCCCCATTATCGGAATTGAGGCATTTTCAATCTGAAGATCGACAAACTTTTAATCAGGTATTAAAAACTCATAAATACCTATTTGCTTTGCAGTTTAACCGTACGATAATACTATAAAAAAAAAGAAAAGAAAAAGGTGCAATACAAAAATATTGGGCCGTTTGGCGTGAGCAACACCGCCAAATTTTCAATATAATGAGGTTATATAGGACAAACGGCCCAATATTTTTGAAGTCCATCTTTTTTCTCGATTTTGTGATCAAATTATCTTACGATTTACCGGGTTTTAGTGCCTAATTAAATAGACAAATTTTGCCGATCTTCAAATTGAAAACGCCCCAATTCCAAGAGTTTTCGTAAACAAAATAGTTGTAGGTTATGATGAGATAACACTATATACGAAGCTTCAGGCTAATGTTAACAATTTGATAAAATGGAGTCTATATCAAGAACTATTATTTGTATAACAAATAACTGCACTAAAAGGCATGCGCACAAAAGACGCATCCTCTACTAATAGTTTAACTGTTCTATTTTTTATTTATAGATATAGTTTTTATGATCCTCTTAGTTTCAATGGGACATATACCTATTCATCATTTAATACTTATTAAAAGTATCTTATTAATAAACTCCTACAGTTTAAACCAGTCAACCGAAAGTGATGATGTATCCATACTGGCATTATTAACGTAGGATTGCAAGCCAAGAGATCCGAGTCACCGTAACCAGAAGGAGGTGGAAGAAGGATGGCTCCCTGCAGACAGCCATAAATACTAGCGGGATCTGATAAAGGGGCCTATGATCCTTACCGAATTCCCGGCATACATTGCAGGTCCGCTGCATCAAAAAAGAAGGAGCGGTTATTTACAGCGAGTATCTCCGCATCTGTCGCTACCCTCCGTCCTCCCAAGATCTATGTGATCCGCGAGAGTTCCTCCCCGCGGGGGCCTCGAGGACAGCAACCAGCGGGTGGCTGATATCGTCCTAGCGCTGCTATGCTTTCAAGCAACCAGTATTTAGTACAGCACAAGGATGTATTCATCCGGTGACAGTAGATCTCAAATTCAACTGAGTATTATTTGTTTGAACTTGTTATCATTTCAATAAACATAAAAAAAAATTATAATGGACTTTCAAAAGTAAAAATATATTGTAGAATGGAGATGGGACTTATTTTGAATTGAAGAACTGGGCGCCAGAAAAATAGATTTAAACATTGATCAATTATGCTCCGACATTATAAAGTTTACGGCATTGGGCGGATAAGAATGTTTTTCACGTATAGTTGTTAAATAAGTTAAGTTGTTAAATCGGTAAATAAGTTGTTAAATCTTATCTCACTTATTCCATTCATAAATATAAAGCTAGAATTACTTAGATCATTTGTAGTTTTTTTTCCTAATGATATTTACAATTGTATTAAAGAAATACATTTAGTAAATTTGAACATATGAATGACGTGAAAACACTTGTTGAGAAACTACCAAATGTTAGCCCTCTAATGATAAGTTTACATTGGGAAATCAAGGGTCCATCTAGCAAGGTTAGAAACGAGAGGGATGGGATGATTCTGAAGTTTATTATGGAAGGATAGGTATAAGGATTGGGCCAGGTCAGAAACATAGGAAACATGAAGGTCATTATAGATGGTTTTATTTGTAACAAAGTAGGTAGCATTGATGATTTCACGAAGGATTTTGGATTGTAAGGATTTTGGATAGTGGAGGAATTCCATGGTTTAGTGGAGCCCCATAGCTCAACTCCGTAATTCCAAATAGGCCTTATTATAGTCATGTATGTGAGTCTTTTGTCATAAATTGGAAGTTTAGAACGTTTATCTAGTAATTATGCAGTAATCGGAAACGTCGTGCGGTTTCTTGTAGTTTCAGTCTGGTATGAGCTTTTGTAGTTAACGCATTAATAATAACTCTCAGAAAAACGAAAGAACTATCACCCATGGATTGACATGGAAAAGAAGTTCATATCTGACGATGTCGGAGTAGTTATGGTTTCTTAGGAAGTCAGAGAATCAATTTCCTTTTTTAACTATTCAATTTTCTTTTCTCTATGAAAATTTGAAATTCTCTAAAATACATTAATGCTTTCACAGCTTAATTTATATTGTATTCAGGATACATGGCAAATCAAGATTAATCGTTTTTTTTTTCATTTAATATCCTATCTCTTTGTATGTCCTATACTATCGTATGGACTGTCGATAGAATTGTAAACATAATTTTTATGTCCTCAAATCTCCATACAGACTCCCTTAAGTGTCGATATCATCGGTATGATCTTTTTCGAATTAAATGAAATACCTTAATTCAATAATTATACATCTAACCTTAATCTTACTCAAAAGTTGTATAAAATGTTGATATTTAGTTTTGCAATCAGGAAACATTCTAAAACACTTATAATAAAAGTATTTTAAGAATATTTTATGGATTCTTTCTGACATGTGACATCTGACATTTCTGTGGAACATCCTTCTTTGTGTCTAATAAGGAACCCATATTTAATAAGCGTCCTTTCAATGATATCAAATAGCAGAGACATAGTTCTATAATCTGAAAAAAAATCACAATTATTTCTTGTTAAAAACTCTAATAATGAAGAACACTTTAAATGAGAAAAATGTTGAACAAAGATCCTAAATCACGTACCTCAGACACTCTATCATAAGATCACAGAGCAGTATCATAAGTTAAAGAATCGGGGGCACTGAGGTCTTTATAAGCATCACTTTTATTTATAATATCTGAAATAAATGGCATCTAACATGCAGAATTAGGCTGTATCTATGGATTGATTACAAGAGTTCACTCCAGATATCCTACAATAGTATGTCAACAATATCATGGATCTTGGTCTGCTGGCACAAGTATATGACTTAAAGAATGATACTACATGATTGATTTGTCCTGAGGACCATGAGGGTTAATATACCCAGGAATAGTAGGAGGAATGAAGGAATCCTGGGAGATCTAAGTTGTCTGAGAAATGGTTGGAGTTACGAGAAGTTATGAGAAATTATTAACAATAACAAGGGTATTCATATCCTTTAGTATTATGATATGGTGTTCGTGAGATACGAACCTTTTGCTGAAATCTGTAATTGTTTCCTGTGTTTTGTGGTGTCCAGTCGGTACCTTTTATTTCTGTCTTTCATTTCTAAGCTATCAGAAATAGCTTGTTCTGGTCAGCTATGGATTGCTTTGTCCTTTTGTCTTTTTGATTCACCAAATTAAAAATTTAAATTAATATTATTATTATTATTATTTGTTACGGATTAAGTCCATTCCGTAACTATATATTTTATATGTTTGAAATATTATCCCTTTTTTCCGATAGTCGGATATTCCACACTTATTTGAATGCGGTCAATTGTATTAAACCAGTTTCAATTTTCTCTCATGCATTCATCAAGGATTGAAACAAAAGAGGACCTATCATAGTACCGTGTGTTACTCCTGGAGGAACACTGTACTTTTGCGTGATGACTTAATTGAAGTTTATATCCGAAATCATTGATTTTGGAGTGTTTCTTATTAAATCTATTACATTAAAAATCTCCCTCTTCAAGAAATTTATCCGATCTAAATGATTCTTCATCGTGGGAATCTATTTTATAAATGTGTCGATTATTATTTTTAAATTTATGTATCTCTTCTAAGTCTAAATAATGTTAATGATGTGTTCAGTTAAATATGTTTTATGTCACAACATTTAAATTTGTCCTACGCAGGCACATCAGGTCACAACACACCGAAGATGGTATGACCCTCAGCTGCCCGCACTGCGACTTTACCACAAAGAATAGGACTCACCTCCAGAGGCATATCAATCTCCACACTGGGCAAAAACCTTTTAGATGTCCTCATTGTTCTTTCTCATGTTCTCTTTTAGTGAGTACATCATATATTTTAATTTTATCTGGATACAATAATAAATCTTATATATTACTAGCTTTACCCGGCAACGGGCTGCTGTGGCTTAGCCTGGCAAAATGAAAAAGAAAGAAAATAGAAAGCACATATGAGTAGATTAGTAGTAAAGGATATCTGTAATTTTTAAAAAGTTGGGAAACAAATTTGTCTGTAAAATGGCTACAATTTAAACTAATTCTAATGTTGTTTTTTTTTCATGATTCAAATTGAACATTCATAATCATCTGAGTGAATACGCCGTCATTTAAAATCATCAGAAACAGTCTGAGCTGAACTTATAAAACTAAATAAAAAAATTAATTTAAAAAACGTATAATAGTATTGACCTACATAGGGCGGCGAATCATATAACTTCTTCAAATGATAATTTCAATTACAGTAGTAATTATAAAATTTTCGATTAATCAATAAAAAAAATGCTTGCCCACCTTCGGTAGTGAGGAAGCAAAAGGAACGGCCTTTTCTGAAGAGAAAGCAGTAAATGTTTAAAACTCAATAACTCTTCCACGAACCTTCCGATTTCGATGATTTTTTTTTTTTATTTTGTCAGCCATTCAGGAATCTTTCAAATAAATGTGGGTATTATCAGTCAAAAATTGTGTACTTTTTTAGTTATCGTCAAATAAAATGTTGAATTCATCATAACATTTTTCAGCTTGTTTTCGGGAAAGTATGTTATACATATAAATTAAAGGGTTTCAAGGGGAAGACTTTAGCCAAGTTTCGTTAAAATCGGTAAAGTCGTTTTGGCGCTACAGTTTATAGCGACACATTTTTTTGCGGCTTTGAACAGAAAAACATTTACATATATATATATATATATATATATAAATATAAATATATATATATATATATAAAAAAAACATATATATATATATATATATATATATATAATGTAAATAATTTTTTTTAAATCTTATAACAAAATAAAAAACTGCAATAGGTTATATAAGGAAAATAATTAGTCATTATTATATACAAGATTATTAGAGAGAAATGGGTCTTACTCTCAAAGAGTGGGTTGCAGACAGGAGAATAATTTTTTTTAAACTCTCATGTTCAACTCTTAACTTATGTTCAAAAATAATGATCAGGATGTGATTTTTATCACTTATGATAAAAAATAAAAATCGTTCTTAATAAAAATTATCAAATGATTTTTAAAAGAAATACTTTATTTAAAGCAGAGCTGCCCTACTATACAAGGTTGTTCGATACACAGCATAATCATCAATCTTTTTTTTTATATAGCACTTAATTATACTTAATCATATGTTTATATATATACAAATTCTTTTTCATATTGCACAGCATAAATAATATCAATACTATAATATACTAATAGACACAATTACAATTATACAATTGGGAAAAAAAAAAAGATAGTATTCGAATGCTAAAGTTTTAAAACCAGAAAATTAGAACGCACACACAGCACGTAACATAGTCCTATGAACATAGACAAAAATATATGGTCACTTAAATCATTTAAAATTGAATAAATAAATAAATAACGATAATCAACCCCTAATTGCCATATATGTGATGATTAATGATCCCAAGGGAGTCCAGAATAATACCCTCGGCCAACACTGCGAGCTTCCCGACATCAACGCCTAGTTCCTCGAAGAAGCTCCCTGTTCTTTTAGGAATCATTCCGCGAGACCCAAACCAGAGGCCTCTCACTGTGAACTCTCTCTCTCCGAAGGTCTCGCGGAAAAATACATTTTTTTATTTGATTTTGATTTTTTTAATTCTAGATTTCAAACTCTGCACTCAAAATATCCCCGATAATATTTTAATTATTTATTTTATCTTCCTTTGCTTATTTTGTATCTATAAGTGTTCTTTATTATCTATATTTTTAATTTATATTACTTTTATAATTTTTTGTAAATATTTAATTTTATTTAATGGACACACCAACATGTTTACTTATAATTTGTTCTAAAGGAACAATAGTCCCAGAATAATAAACTTATTGTCATTCAAAAAATGCTAAAATATAGTTTAGTTTTTTGTTTACTTATAATTAGCCAGTTAATTTTTAACAAATGAAAATCAGATACGAACATATGAGATTTTTTATCATTTTCATGTAACACCTGTAAAAGGTCGGTTCCTCCCGACTTACCCTTAATATATGTACCTGTATCCTTTTTATGATTTTTTTAATTTTGCACTATTACTTATTGATTTATTTCATTTATTTAAGTTCTCATTAAACCACTTTGGACATATGGAATCGAACTGTGGGGAACAGCAAAGAAATCAATTATAAAAATCACCCAGTCATTCCAGTCAAAAGTCCTGCTGAAAATTGTAGACGCACCCTTTTATGTTTCAAACCTTACGTTATACACTGATCTTAACACTCCTTTTATCACGGTAACTGCCACTGACCGCTTTAATAATTTAATGACTAACTGACTTTAAATTTAAACCCCCTAACTCAGGCTCTATCGGCTGCTACAAGTCCATAATAATCCATAAATAATCCGTCCAGAAGTCTGCTGAGTCGCTGGCCAAGAGACTTATTGAATTGAGCGACTTGCTGTATCATCTTTTTTGTGTGTTATTTCACTACTATTTTTTTTTTTATTGTTATTGCTATTCTTTCTTTTTATGCTATTATGTATTCTTCTTGATATCATATTTGCTGAATACTCAAGTAGATGGGAAATTTATTGTGGGCCAGGAATATTTGTAACTAATTAATAAATAAATAAATAAATAAATGTTTGTTACTGATATGGTTTTCAACATTGGATAATTGCAGATACCATATTTTAATGATTATAAGTATAAAGTCTATTTTATTTTAAATTATTATTGATCATAAACCATCTTCTAAGCTTTATAATTCCTGAGACCTATATACAAAGTTTACCATTGATATGTTGCAGGAGAACCTGAGGAAGCACGTGATATCCTCGAAGTTGCACCCCGGCAAGTTCTTGTACGAATGCCCGCACTGCGGCGACCTCAGGACGAACCTGTCGAAGGAGCTGAAGGCCCACTTGGTCTCTGCCCACGGGCGCAGCGCCCCAGAGGCCTCCGCCTACATCGCGGGGCTCCACCGGCCCGGGGCGGAGGACTCCCATCCCCAGGCTCTAGTACCCGTCCCGCCCAACAGGAGGTAAGCTACCCTTGCTCAAGAATTATTGTATGATAGTCCGCTTGTACGGTATAATAGTAGGTATTGTTCCATAATGGGCCTGGAAGAATGGAGGTTCGGTATACAATAGCGCCTTTGTAGAAGAACATATCATGTGCAAATGTTCTGTATTACAGGTCAAACCATACTTACAAAGTTATAAACTTAATGGTATGTTTATAAGTTGACTATAGGCTAGGCAATAATTGCCAATTTATAATTTTTCAAAAATCTGACCTACTATAATTGTATGGTTGAAAATAATAGTGATTAAATAATTGACTGTCGTAAATAATGGAGAGAAGAATAGTTGGGGTGATCAGTCAAATAAGAAGGCAAAAATAAATGATACTATTTATTTTGACATTAGCCGACGTTTCGACCTGAAGTTCAGGCCATCAAGGCTAAGAAAAGAACCAGATAACAAGGTATGAGAAACATAGGTAGTGTAGGTAAAAAAATTAAAGTAAAATTCAGTTGTTAGAATAATGACAATAGTAAGAACAAAGATATAAATGATAAGCGGTACAAAGTGTGGAATGATGAAGTAAACATAATGAAAAAAAAAAAAAAAAAGTTGGCATAAGTATTAAAATGGGAATCTTAGAATAAAATGTAAAAACAGAAAAATATGAAGCTATATAAGAAATGGAAATAAACAGTAAAATTAAGATATTGTGAATAGAATAGTTAGATAGAAATTGAGATCTTGTAAAGTCTATCAAGATGTATAGACAACGTGTAATATAATACAAAGTTAAAACAGGGCAAAGGGATGAAAGGAAGGAAACTGAGAAGGCTGAAATAAGAAAGATAATAAGAAATAAAAATAAAGAGACCCACCTGATTACGGATATGTAAATCTACGGAATGAAGGTGTTAGTCAGGGTGGAGGTGAAGATCTGGTTTTTTTCTTAGCCCTGATGATGGCCTGAACTTCAGGTCGAAACGTCGGCTAATGTCAAAATAAATAGTATCATTTATTTTTGCCTTCTTATTTGACTGATCACCCCAACTATTCTTCTCTCCTGTATGGTTGAAAATACTTAAAAAGCTTACATTTTATAATTCCAACTTGGATCTTCTGTTGTTATGTAGTATACTGATACATGGAAAATCGATTTATATAGTGTACAACATGAGGACTTATGTAAATTTTCCATATAAAAGATATTCTGCCTTATAGTACACTTATAAAATTATAATTTCGCAATGGTAATCAGAGTCGGCCCCTCCAGGCGCCAAGTCCTATGGGGCGCCGACTCAGTGGTAAAATATTACTTGAACCACAAGTTGTGGTAGCTCATAGATTCATTTAGAAATAACCTGAACTAAATAAACGTCAATACGTGTGTCCTATTTCAAAAATAAACTATTAATATCATAAAAATCTGGTGCGGTACGCGTATCACACACCTTTCACTTACCACCCTCTTCTTAAAAGAAATAAGTATTTTCAGCCAAAGGATAAGTGAAATTAAAAATTATAGACACTATAATTATTTATATTTCATTTTTATTTGTATTTTTATTTATATCGGTGTAACCTATACAATTAAATATTAAATAATACCAACAATAGCATTTATGAAAACCGCATATTTATGTTTATATATTATTGTCGGAGTCCGTATTATTTTAAGCTCATGTTACGTTATAATCTTACGCCTGTTATAATCTAAAAAATTAAAGGTACTTTAGAGGAAGTTAATATTGAAAATTAGCTTTTTAAGCCCTGTCAGAGAACATCAATCAAAATAAAAACTACATTTTATTTAAAACTGCTTAATTGTACACTGATATAATGAATTTAATCAAAATCGTTTGAGCCGTTTCAGAGAAAATTGTAAAAATGTGTTTAGCCCATGGTATAAAGTGCCACTTCCGGTCAGTCGATTTCGACGAAAAAGTTACTGTAACATCCCTGGAATATGAAAACCTTAAATATGCAATTTCACTTTCGTATGTGTTTTCGTTTTTGAGCTAGACTGTTAACAAACACACAGACCATTTTGCGGGACTTGGTTATTTAGACTCAGTGCACCTCATAATGTGTATTTCCGTTGAAAACACAAAAATTTAAACGATAGAAATACTTTCCTTAACTATGTATTTCATATGTGAAAGTAAAAGGCGGGGACGCCAAAATTGCGTCTCGCTCCAACCTAAAATCTTCCTCGGGCCTGCATTGATTGTAATGGTCTTGCACAATATTAGTTATGATTCTATTTCGTGCTTGTACGATATGAGAGGTACTATATTTTGATAATGTATCAAGAAACATACTGTTGGCGTTCGGTTGTCCAAGAGGAGGATTAACAATTCACGTTTGTTTGGCGTTTTATAGAAACTTAGGGACTCTACCGTAATTGCACAATATTACGGTGCTTTGTAATGTATCATATGAATCTTATGTATTATTGCGCCATCATAGATTATTGTTTACTAGTAGTTTGCTTGTTTAAGAGTGTATCTGTACTCTAGATACACAATGTCCTAACTTCCTAATTCCTAACTTTGAGCTTTGTTTAAAATTTGTTTCTTAGTTTTTAAATTATTTAATAAAAAAAATGGACAAGGTGTTTTTTACCTCCGGGATACAGATATCAAAAGCATTTTAGAACAGAAGACAAACATGTTGTGTCAATTCTACGGAATGTTTAGTACTTTCATATTTAGTACAATAACAAAATGCTTACCCTTTAACATTACAAAGGCCAAAAATGGGTTATATTAGTATGGGACAACATAATAGTTTACATTATTATAACGATAATCAACAGTATAACGAACGCAACATTGAAGAATAGTGAAGTGTCATAGGGTATCAAAGATATATAAAACGGAAGAAATAGGTTTTATTCCTGTAAAATATTACAGATCACTTCCCAGAAAATTACCGGATATCGTCGAGAATAATGCTAATTATGGAATATGAAAAATTGTGATTTTCAATCCTGCACTCTAGCTATTGTGATTGCAATTAAATATTTTTAAACAGCTGATACAAAATCTTCAAGCATTCATAAAAGCACACATAAGCGTTGAAAATAAAACAAATTAGTTTTTTTAGACTGAATTTATAATGATATTAGAGTGTTGTTTTTTATTTCTTGAAAAGTGGTAATTTTCAGATTCGGTATTTAGGGTTTGTATCGAGGATATCTTTTCAACTGTGATTTAATCTTCTTTTTTTTTTATAATAAAGAAAATTCATAAATAAAATTTTCATTATGTATTTGGAAGAGGAGGATGGTTGGGGTGACCAGTCAAAATAAATAGTTGTATTTATTTTCACATTCGCCCACGTTTCGGCCTGAAGTTCAGTCCTTCATCAGGGCTAAGAAAACAACCAGATAATAATAGCTATAATAAACAATAAACATTGAATAATAAAGAATTAAAATTGAAAAATTGAAAAGTATAGATTAAAAATTAAGTAGAAAAACTTAACGTAAAATGAAGTAGATGGAGTGATTATTAAAGTAAAATAAATTAGGTAGAATAATAACAGTAACAGAGAACTAAGAAATAAATAATAATAACGGTAACAAAGCACGGACCAATGAAAATAGATTTCTCGTCATTATGTATTTTGTACGATGTTTCATTTATATTTATTATATTATTACAGTCACATGCATGTCACAACTGTAAAATTACCCTTATGAACTCATGTAAAAGAGAATATTTTTTTTAAAATGTTTTTAAGTCTTTATTGCTTTATGGTGAACTAACTATAAAATATTAGCTGAGCACTACATAGTTGTACATTTTTTTTCAATTTTTTTTTAAATCTTATCATATTTAAACTAATTAATGTCCATAGCAAAAGCGAAAAAAATATACTTATCACTGAGGAGAAAATTAGGCCTGATGTAATAATGTAGACCGAGTGAGTTGCTGACTTTTGGAACTTTTTGTTTACTACCAGCAATTGTATACTTTGGATCGTTTCCTCCATCAAGACTTTCAAACTTCTTCAGAGAAAAAACACAAACTTGCCTTCACCAGTCCTGAGATTGGACCAATTAAAAATCGTGATGAGTCTCTATAAACTATTATAGATTTCACGTGAAATCGTTTATTAAATCATATTTTAGGACGTGCTTGCGTTTGTGATGAAATATAGTAAATTATATTACAAAATACCAACATAACATTAAATGATGATAATGTCATTTAGCTAACAAAAAAAAATGCTTGAAATATCTATATTATTTTTTTACATTTAAAAATGTTTACAATATTGCTTTCTCCGCTAACAAAGGTAGTTCATGCAGAAAATAAAAAAAATGCCTTAAAAAATTTCCACTCTTCTATCTCCATGAAGGAACTAGTTTGATCTACCTGTAATCAAATCCTAACAAAATTATTACCATTTAGCTGAATTTGACAAAATATAGTGCATAGCCAATTTACTCTTTGGCACAAATCTAGTTGAGACTAATATACAATTGGAATTTTATTTTATGCCATCCCCTACTTTTTTTAAGCATGCGCAGATGTATTTGCTTGATATGACAAAAAAAAAATCACGTAGATTTTATGTACAAGCGATTGTATAAATTTATTGAAATAAAAGAAAATCATTGACTACGAATTATAGGTAAAATCACTTGGTCAACAAAAGTAGTTAGAAATCCCAATCGTTATTTAACATTTCTGAAAATAATTTTATAAAACAAGACAAAACTGTCATTAGTTAGAGTTATTTTCACGAATGGATAAATATTAGTCCTGGAACATGCAACAGGAACATTTGTTTAAATGATAATTTTTTGAATAAGTTGTATTTTTATGCAATCAAAAAGTATATTTTCATGATTAATTTATTACTATACATCCTAAGTTATTGAAAAAAATTAAATTAAATTAAATTAATAATTAAATATAATGTTAAATTTTTAAGAAAACAAAGCAAAAAGAATATAGATTGATCTTAAAATATATACCTCCTTTGTAGAAGATATCAAGTCTGATGTTCCTCTATAACTCATCCATTCAAGACTGCATTTATTTTATTTAGGAGTGGGATGAAGTGGTTAGAGATCACAATAAAAAACAAAAAATGGTACCGAACCTAAAAAATATGGTAAGAAAAATAAAATTTTATTTATTTATTTATTCTTGGCGCTACGGTCCTGTAAGAACCTGGGCCTCTCATATAAGCAGACCCTACACGGTAATTCATGAATGAACGTCACAAGAAGTGCCAAGATTGCCCGCGATCGCTTTGATCACGTTCAATCATTACTGATCATTACTTATCGTTGCTGACACCACTTTAGATCAGTTGTAAACAAAGAAACAGCATAGATATGCTTATTTGGACATTTTCAATTATAATATTGGGCATCAAGAGAAAAACGGAGATGTAATAATTACTTCCTAGTGTCTGAAAATCGTTTAGACCAAAGTTAGAAAAATATAAGTCAACTACATACAAAAAGCTAAGAAAAGTATTGCGAAAATAATCAATTTGTTATGAAAAATGAAAAATTAATGACAAATAAACACAACAGTTAAAGATTTTTTTTCTTTAAGTAAATTGTGAAGTTTCCACTTTTTTTTTTTCTATTTATTGCCTACTTGACTATTTAAAGAAAAACTAGTTGAAAATGGTTAATAATAATATAGACTAGAGATATAAACAACTATTTACTTTTATGAAATTATTTACTTAATAACGAGACCTAGGTAAACTAACCTATCTAGTAATAAGGTTAGTCTCATAGAAAATCGTTTTGACAAAAGTTAGTAAAATATAAGGCAACTACATACAAAAATTAAGGAAAGGTATTGCGAAAATAATAAATTTGTTTAGGAAAATGGGAAAAGAACTGATAAATATACACAACGTTAAAGTTTTTTTTTTCTTAAAGTAAATTGTGAAGTTTCCACATTTTTTTTTTTAATTTGTTGCCCACTTGACTATTTAAAAGAAATAGTTGAAGATGGTTTAAAATTATAATCAAGGGATATGAAAAATCATTTAACTATTTACATATAATGAAAATCAGAAATTAATAATGGTTGTGAGGCCTATGTAACCTAACCTATCCAGCAGTATGGTTAGTCTCCCCACTACTTTTACCTCAGTCCCCCCTCCACTTCTCGTAAATGAACCTTTGATTTCCGGATGTTCGGAAATCTGCAGCGCACCACCATCAGTACTTCATTCATTACCTTACACGACAATTCGGAACGTCATTAGTGCAATTCCGATTGACCGCGTAGGGTCCCCTTATGACCCTTCGCCACTCTCCTCTATCCCGAGCGAGCATTCTCCATCTTCGAATTCCCATCCTTTTCAGGCTGTCCTCTACCTGGTTCAGCCATCTCAGGCATGGTCTTCCTCTTCCACGTTTTCCAAGAGGCCGATCCTCAAGCAAGCGTTTGGGAATCGCGTCTCGGGGCATCCGCGCCCATAAATAAATTTTATTTATTGAAAAAATTCTTTTTTTTTTATTTTTTTGTATATACTCTTATAGTATTGTTCCAATACATATATATAAATATGTTGAAATTAGACGTCTCATTCCAGAAAGAAGAGCTTCGCCGCGACTGGACGAGACCAAGAAGAGGAGCAACTGCCAACCCTGGCCTCGGTGGCTTTGGGGTCGACCGAAGAGGATGTCATCTTCATCGAGGTGGACGGGGGCCTCGAGAGCGTCCTCTACCAGCAGCCGGACCATCTGGAGGCCTACCCGCCCGGCAGGGTATAGCCCTGTCAGTCTGTAATTATATATATATATATATATAAGTTATGGTTAGATGTAAGTTTATATGAGAGTTAATCCTAGACAATAGTTGTAAACAAACCGTAATGCTATATATATAGCATTACGGAGAGAATAAAGTCAGTCTTATTTGAGCAACCACGCGTTTCATTTCAAACCTCTTCTTTCTTTCTTTTTTTTATCTTTCCGAGTTCGAACCGACGTAAGTGGTGCCGAAACCCGGGAATCTTAAAGAGTTTACTTTTATAGTTGTCTTTTCGTTTTTTTTATTTTTTTTATTTTCACGTCGTGGAGATAAATAAAAAAACAGGATGCCGAACGGAGTAGGTCAACCGCCAGTACGTCCACCACCACCAGTACCGCCTACAGCACAGGTAGCGCAACCGACTGCGGCACCAGCGGCACCGGCAGCGTTTCCTACGTTGGCAGAAGCGTTAGCGAGGGACTTTCCTCCGCTACCTACGGAGACGTTAGCGTCAGCACATGCGACGACGCTGGAATGGCTAAAGGTTAGAACGGCGACATCGCAAGACCTGAGGAGAGCTATATCTGACCTGGAGAGATTTGATGGAGGAACAGGTGAGTTGAACCACTTTCTAAAGGGAGGCGACCGGGTGATATCGCGTATAGCGGCCAAAGAAGGGGAAAACTTGATAGATCCGCTGGATGCCAACGCATTGAGGGCAGCCTTGGTATGCCGGGTTAAAAGGAGTGTGCTGAACATGATCCAGGCGGATGAAGACACCCCATGGAGCACCGTGAAGGACAGGCTGAAGAAGGCATTTGGAGGGGGCCGTTGGGCCCCAGAAGAAGACATCTTACAGATGTTCCGAGAGAAGAAACAGCCGTATCAGTCCAACGGACAATATGCAGCAAACCTGTTGGCACGATTGAACAATGTAACGGAGAAGACGAGGGATGTAGCGGATGCAGTGGAAGCGCGAGCGAGAATGGCGTTCCTGGCAACCATCCTTAAAGTACAACTGGGTAGAGACACGGGGAAGAAGGATGGACTACCTAGAGACAAGGGTTTTGTAGAGTGTGCCCAGGAAATGATTGATGCAAGCGCGCGGGAGGAAGAAGCAGCCAGGGGAGAAGAGGAGAATGAGAACGGGTGGAACCGAGTATCGTCCAGGAGAGCGGAACCCGGTAGATTTAGAACGAGACAGGAAGGCTGGAAGAAAAGAGGAGGAGAAGTTAGCGCAAGAGAAAGAACGGCGGTAAGGGAGAAAAAGCCAGGGAAGGAGAGAAGGAAATGGACAAAGGAGGACAGGAGATGCCACGGGTGCGGAAAGATAGGTCACCTAGTGGCGAATTGCCCGCGAACCCGATGTTTCGAATGCGGAACTGAGGGGCATATTGCGAGACAATGCCCGTATATGAGTAGACGGGGGGAAGTGGGCCGAGATGAGCCAATGGAGGTGAACGCCCAGAGATTGTGGAGGAAGAGAGGAGCGGCATCGGAGTCGGACAATTCGTCGGGAACATCTGAAACCGAGGAGGAGGAGCCGGTGGTGAGAGCAGCTCGAGGAGGCAGAGTTAGCAGAAAGAGTGGAGAAGGGGGAGCAGTCGCGGACAGGAGAGGAAGATCAGACGAATGAGGAGAGGAGCAGAGGAGAGGCAGCCACGCGGTAGTGAATAATATTGCAGGTGAGTGCGTTGGTTTGCCAATTATAAGTGTCGTGGGGAAAGGAAAGTGTCTGGTGGATACGGGAAGTTCTAATACAATAGTATCTAGGCAGATGTTGGAGGAGTTGTGTAAAGGAGAGAGGATACCGAGAATAAAAAAATGTACGTGTAGGTTGATTACTTTGGGTGGTCCATGTAGGATAGAAGGGGAAGTAGAGTTGGATTTAGACAGATGGATCCCAGGAAGTGGGAAGTTGAGGGTTCATGTAGTAGAGAATATGCCGCGGGAATACGGGGGTATAATTGGATGTGACCTATTGAGTAAGGTGAGACCGAGAATAGATTACAGGGGAACGGGTTGGAGGGTGCGAATGGGAGGGAAGAGGTACCGGTGTAAGAAAGGGAGAGTGGGAGGAAAAGGGAACATTGGGGCAATAGAACAAGCGGAACATTGGGCCCAAAGGATAAAGAGGGAATACGCGGATATTTTTTTTAAAGAGGGGGAGGTGTTGAGCGCAACGGGGAGGACAGCACATGAGATTCCGTTAAAACAGGAAAAGGTGACGTACGTGAAGGAGCGGCGTTACCCGCAGGCTTTACGTCGCCATATCAAGGAGGAACTCGAGAGCCTGAAGAAGCAGGGCATCATCGTGGACAGCACGTCACCGTACAATAGTCCTCTGTGGGCGGTGAAGAAAAAGACGTCGTCGGGAGAGCAGAAGTACAGGGTGGTGGTAGACTTCAGGAAGCTCAATGACAACACCCTAGACGAGAAGTATCCGCTTCCGCGATTTGAGGATATTATTGACAGGCTTAGTGGGGCAACCATTTTTAGTACTTTGGATTTAAAGGCAGGCTACCACCAAATTCGTATGAACCCCAGGGATCAACACAAAACGGCGTTTTCTTTCGAGAGGGGGCATTACGAGTTTACTCGGATGCCATTTGGTTTAAAGAACGCTCCCATAACCTTCCAGAGATTTATGGACGAATTCTTGAGAGGATTAGACGAAGAATTCTGTCAAGTGTACATGGACGATCTGTTGGTCTTTAGCAAGGATGAAGAGCAGCATGTTGATCATTTAGGGCGCGTATTCGATAGGTTACGGCAATTTGGGTTGAAATTATCAGCGGAAAAGTCGATTTTGGGACAGGACCAGATAACCTTTTTGGGACATTCCATTTCGAAGGAGGGGATCAGGCCCGATAAACAGAAGGTTGAGGCAATACGAAATATGGCGATGCCCAGGGATGTAAAAGGTATCCGCAGGTTATTAGGAACACTAAACTATTACCGTCGGTTCGTGCCGGAAATGGCGGAGTATTTAGCACCTCTTAATAACCTTTTGAAGAAAGGCCGGAAGATTGCAATAACGCCAGCAATAGAGGATAACGTAAGAAAGTGCATGGCGCGGTTACAAGAGAAGCCGGTACTCGCTTTTCCCGATTTTACGAAGACATTTGTCATTACCACGGATGCGAGTGAGTATGCGTTGGGGGCGGTACTTGCTCAAGAAGGAAGTAATGGGGAACAACCGGTAGCATATGCAAGTCGGCGGCTTACAGACGCGGAAACGCGGTATAGCGCCCTGGAGAGGGAACTCCTGGGCATAGTATGGGCAGTAGGGCATTTTAGGCCATATATTTTTGGCAGAAAGTTTAAAGTCCATACCGATCACAGGCCGCTGCAATGGGTCGGTAATCTGAAGGAATCGTCAGCAAGGGTCACCCGGTGGAAGCAATTTCTAAGCCAGTACAATATGGAGGTCATGTACAAACCGGGTAAGGAAAATGTGGTGGCGGACTGGTTGTCCAGAGCCATCATGATAAATGCCATCGAGGAGGAAGAAGGGGAGTCGTCAAGGGACGTGCGGCAGTTTTTAAGAACGTGGACACCGGAAGGTGAAGGGGAACCTGGGGACGTGGGAGCAGAAGAGTCGAGAGGAGAAGAGAGCTCGGTGGACGAGAGGCCTACAGATATGGAGGAATGTGAGGAGATCGTCAACGATAAGAGACGACAGGTCATTTGGAAGACCAGGACGTCGGGGCTCATGAAGATCGACTTCAGTAAGTACGGCAAGAGGAGGATTAACACCATTTGGTCCCAACCAGGGGTGAAAGAAGAAGAGATCTGTAAGGCTTTGCACGACGCTTCAGAGTCGGGGAAAACTCACCATTTGTATGTGGGCAATGCGACCGTCTGGGAGAAGATCAAAAAACTCTGGAGAGCAGAGAAGATAGGCATTGACAGGTCGTTCATTAGATGCAGATACCTAGTTGAAACATTAATGGACAAGGAGCAGCAAAAGGAAGTAACGCTGGCACATCACCAGGGCAAGACCAACCATAGGGGGGGACAGGAAACGTTTCAAGCGTTGCGCAGAAGATATTTTTGGGATGGCATGAGGAAGACAATTGCTGAAATCATTGGGAGATGCGCAGTGTGCGCGCGTACTAAATACGATAGACGGCCACCTCAAGGATTGCAGGAGGAAACCCCTACGGGAGACATGCCATTGAAAGATGTGCAAATTGATACATTTACGTGGAGGGGGTTTAAGTGGGTTACAATGATCGACCTCTTTAGCAAGGTAGCAATGACACACCAAGTACGAGATAAGTTGTCGGAGGCGGTTGTGGGGGCTCTACAAACGTGGGCCCAGTTCTACGGAGTGCCTGATCGCATAACGTCGGACGGAGGGAGGGAGTTCGACAACAGTACCGTACGGGAGGAGGTTAAACGATTGGATATAGATTGGCATTTTAATACTCCGGGACATACAAAGGGCAGAGGAAATATCGAGAGGTTGCACAGCACGTTAAGCGACCACCTACGTATTTATCAAGGGGAGCAGGGATTGGAAGGGGATGTAGCTATGAAAAGAGCAGTTGCGGCCTATAACCATTCGATCCACTCCGTTACAGGGTTTTCTCCGGTCGAGGTATTGTTTGGAGTGAATATACGGCGACGGGATTGGATGGAAACACTCGCGGATGAAGCACAAGCTCAACGGATCACTTGCAACAGGGCAGAGATAAAGATAGTATGGGATAAAACGAGAGGGAAAATAGAGCGGGAAGAACGGAAAAGGGTGGAGAAGGCCAATCTGAGCCTCAAGGACAGAATGGGGGACTTGAAGATAGGGATGACAGTCTATCGTAGGGTAGGTTCTAATAGGGGGAAAGAACTAGCACGCTACGACGGACCATTCAAAGTGATTGTACTTCGCGAACACAATCTTTGTACCATTCAGAGTCTGAACGATCCTAGGAAACGAAGGACTGTTCACATAGAACAGTTGAAACTCCCGATAGAACCGGGTCAGTCGTAAATAGTGGTATATCCTCTTTTCTGTCTCCTACAAGCTATGGAAGGACGGTA